GATACATGCTACTACCCGTGTTTCCCCGAAAATAAGACATCCTCTGAAAATAAGACCTAGTGCATGGAAAAATAAGACATCCCCTGAAAATAAGACCTAGCACATCTTTGGGAGCAAAAATTAATATAAGGCACTGTCTTATTTTCGGGGAAACAGGGTATATGAATGCATCTCAAAAAACATGATGCTGAGAGAGGCCAGACACAAAAGGTCACATATTATATGATTGCACTGATATGAAATGTCCAGAATAGGCAAATCCACAAAGACAGAAAGGCTAGTGGCTGTCAAGGGTTGGGTGTAGGGAGGAATGGGGAGGAATTGCTACTGAGAATCCTTTTTGATGAAAATGTTTTGGAACTAGACAGAGCTGATAATTGTCTAGCATTATGAATTGTTAATTTTTAACATGGTTAACTTTATGTTCTATCAATTTCACCTCAATATGTAAAAACCAGCAATGATTATGGGCAGAGTTGGGTTTGAATCCCACCTCTATCTCCTGCTGTGTGACCTCGGGCAACTCAACCTCTGGTGCCTTGGTTTGCCTCACATAAAACAGGGAGGATTCAATGAGCACGTCAAATCCGTAACACCGTCTGCGGCATGCAGTAAGTGCAGTAAGTGCCGTTTAAATGCTATTTGTACCTGACACATTCCCTCTGGGTTTGAACTTTATTCCTTTGCCCTTTTCTTCAGACAAACTCCTGGCCTTGCTGTGGATGTGTCTGGCCGAGGACATTGCTTCAGAAGGCAGGAGCCATATCTGATTGGAAAGGTCTGATGAATAATGCACTCTGCCCTCTGCCCCTTCTCCCAGCAACTCTCCGGGCATGCACCCTTCTGTCCTTCCCTCCACACCCCCAATGCCTGGCCCGGGGGCTGGCAAAGAACAAACATGCCAGGAAACTTTGCTGCCTGACTGTTTGACTTTGGCCCAGAACCAGGAACCTCTTTTGTGCCTCACACAGAACCAGGGTTTTGAGCCCAACACAGCTGGGCTTGAATCCTGATTCCTGTGTGAATCCTTGAGCAAAAGGCTGCACCCAGCCTGGCCAGCCTGGCTCAGTGGTTGAGCATTGATCTATGGACTGGGAGGTCATGGTTCGATTCCCTGTGAGGGCACATGCCCCTGTTGTGTGTGTGAATGAGGCAGCTGATCAATGATTCTCTCTCTCTCTCCCTCTCCCTTTCCTCTCTGACATCAATAAAGATATATTTTTTAAAAAGAGGCAGCACCTCTCTGAGGTCATTGGAGAGGTGGAGATAATAAGCATGTCTGCCTCATGGGGTGGTGTTGGGGGCTTTGGTGAGATTATGTAAAATGCTCAGCACCCTGCCTAGCACACAGTGAGCACAGTGGTTGGATGGTGACCTGCTGGAGAACAGGCCCATGACCTCACCCCCAGGACGTATGAAAGTGGTTTTATTTGAACAAAGAGTAAGGAGGAGGCCCACGTGGCTGGAGTGGAGAGAGTGGGAGGGTGGGGCGGTGAGGGCAGGAAGGTGACAGGGTGATTGTGCCGGTCCCGGGAGGCACAAGGAGGACTGGTTTGTGTCCGGAGTGAGGTCGCAGCCTGAAAGGCTGAGAGCAGAGGAGGAAGGTGCCCTGACCCCGATGTTCACAGGCGTCCTGGAGGGGCTGTGGCAGAGGAGAGACTAGGGGTGAGGGTGAGTCCAGAGCTCCTGGAAGAGGTGACTGACCCGTCTACGCCAGCAGTGATGGGAGCTGAGGCTGGTGGGTGCCGAGGGAGGGGGAAAGCCAGAGTCTGAATGACATTGAAGGTGGGGCGGGGGTTGGGGGGCAGGCTTGCTCATAGATCAGATGTGGGCGAGAAAGAGGAACTGAGGAAGTTCCCAGGCATTGGATTCCAAAGGCTCCGAACAGGCCCTTCATAAACAACAACAAAAACACCAGTGCTGGGAGGACGGGGAGGAACTGGAGTCCTCCTGCCTTCCTGGTGGGAACATAAAAGGCTGCAGCTGCCCTGGCCAGTGGGCTCAGTGGTTAGAGCATTGGCCCAAGCACTACAGGGTCTCTGAAGTTCAAATAACATAAGATTTACCATTTTAAAGTGAGCAATTCAATGGCTTTGGTTTGTTCACAGTGTTGTGCTACCACCGTTTTATCTAGATGCATCCCCCCTCCTGGGGATCGAGCCCACCACCCAGGCAGGTGCCCTTGACCAGAATCAAACCTTGGACCCTTTGGTCCAGAGGCCCATGCTCTATCCACTGAGCCAAACTGGCTAGGGGTCAACCATTTTAAAGTGTACAGGTCAGCCGAAACTGGTTTGGCTCAGTGCCGGTTTGGCTCAGTGGATAGAGCATCAGCCTGTGGACTGAAAGGTCCCAGGTTCGATTCTGGTCAAGGGCATGTACCTTGGTTGGGGACACATGCCCAATAGGGAGTGTGCAGGAGGCAGCTGATCGATGTTTCTCTCTCAAAGATGTTTCTGGCTCTCTCCCTGTCTCCCTTCCTCTCTGTAAAAAATCATTAAGAAAAAAGTGTACAGGTCAGTGGCATTCAGTACGTGCACCTTGCTGTGCAGACATCACCACCACCCCTCTCCGGAAGTGGGGCCCAATTTTCAGTGGGAGAGGTTGGGGAGTCAGAGCAAGTTCTTCCCGTTCTGTAATGAGGTGAAAGTTCAAATAACATAAGAGTTACCATTTTAAAGCGAACAACTCGGTGGCTTTGGTGTGTTCACAGTGTTGTGCTACCACCATTTTGTCCAGTTGCACAACATTTCCGTCTCCCCCAAAGGAAGTTCCATTCCCCATCGCCCTCACTCCCCACTGCCCCCCGGGCCCTGGCACCACCAGCTGCTCTCTGTCTCTATGGGTTTGCGGGGTCTGGACATTTCCTATCAGTGGGCTCAGACACAGTGTGTCTGGCCTCTTTCTCTGAGCGTCATCTCTTCAGGGTCCATCGCCTGGTGGCACGTATCAGAGCTTGCTTCCCCTTTACGGCTGAGTCATAACCCGTTGTGTGGAGGGGCCACCGTTTGTCCGTCCACCCCTCTGCTGATGGGCATTTGGGTTGCTTCCACCGTTTGGTGGCTGTGACCAGTGCTACTAAGAACATGTGTGTGCAAGTTATTGAGTCCCTGCTTTCTATTCTCTGGGGTGTATGTTTAGGAGTGGAATTGCCGAGCCATATGGCAATTCTCCGTTTAACGTTTTTGTTGTTGTTAATCCTCACAAATGTGGTATTTTTTCCATGCGGTTTTAAGAGAGACTGGAACGGAGGGAGAGAGAGAGAGAAACATTGATGTGAAGGAGATATATCGATTGATTGCCTCCCTAACATACCCTGAGGTTGGGGATGGAACCTGCAACCCAGTCAGGTGCCCTTGACCAGAATCGAACCTGAGACCTTTCAGTGCACAGGCCGACGCTCTATCCACTGAACCAAACCGGTTTTGGCTGACCTGTACACTTTAAAATGGTGACCCTAGCCGGTTTGGCTCAGTGGATAGAGCATGGGCCAGGGCACCAAAGGGTCCGAGGTTTGATTCTGGTCAAAAGCATATGCCTGGTTTGTGGGCTCAGTCCCCAGTAGGGGGGATACAGGAGGCAGCCAATCAATGATTCTCATCTTTGATGTTCCATCTCTCTCTTCCTCTTTGAAATCAATAAATCAATAAAAAATAAATATATATATATATCGATATATTGAAAAAAATGGTAAGTTTTATACGTGCAGTTTACCTCCATTAAAAACCACTCACAGTGGCCTTGTGAGGTTCAGCTGGCCCCTCCCATGCACCGAAAGGTTGCTGGTTGGAGTCCTGGTGAGGACACATACCCAGGTTTCAGGCTTGATCCCCAGTTGGGAGAGAGGGTACAGGAGGCAGCCCATTGGTGTATGCTTTCACATTGATTTCTCTTTCTCTCTCTCTCCCATTTTAAAAATCTTTAAAAAAGCAGCTCCTTCGCTCCTGGTGCACTGAGCCAAACCTGAAATGACTGTGAGTCCCCGGGTGGGAGCCATCACAGAGGCAGGAAGTCGCCCCTGGGCCCGAGGACCAGGCTGCTGTGTGTCTCTGCTGCACCGCAGCGCCGGCCCAGTGGTCTCTGCACATGCTCAGAGGCAGTAAGTGGCCACACAGCAACCGCAACAGCTTCTAATCACTCAGCATCTTCTCTCCGCAGGCCTCCCTCAGGGCCCCTCGGAGCCAGCCCTGGGAAGCGCTGTCACTCACGAGGGCCTTTGACAGAGGAGCAGAGGGGCCTCAGAGAGGGACAGGGTTCGGGGTCCGGCAGGACGGAGAGGAGGGAGCCTGGATGTATTGAGAGCTGGGAGGACTGGGGGTAGTTCAAGACGCCTAAGGGCCCAACACCATAGCATTGGCCCGGAGCTGCCTGCAAGAGGGCCAGGGCCCAGGGAGGAGGGGTCAATGCCTCCCCCTCACTGCCCGGAACCCACTCCCCCGGTTCTGATCACCCTGCAGGGTTAGGGGGTCCCTTTGGGAAGTGAGCAGCAGGAAGGGGGCGCTGGGCACCTGCACCCAGGCTTTGGGCATAACTCCTCCCCTCCCTCCCTCTACCAGCCACATCCTGTCACCACTCTGAGAGCTCCCCCTCCCCCCCCCACCCCCACCCATTCCCACCCCCCCCCTCATACTCCCCCTCTCCCCCCCTTCCCCCCCGCTGACTTCCATCCCTGCCTTGTGTTCCTCATGGCGCCCCTGAGCCTCCCGCCCCGCCCCCCGTCCCCCCCCCCACACACACACATACACCCGGGCCTTGCAGGGCCCAGGTAGCCGCGTTGCCAGCGGTGGCAGGAAGCAGAGCCAGCCCTGCAGCCGCCTCCACACCTTGCGCTGGGTGCCCAGGGGAGGGCGAAGGGGAGGGGACCTGGGGCATGGAGGGGGGAGGGGGAGGGCTGAGGGCTCTGCCCAACTCTCCTGAAACAGAGCCCCCCCCACCACCACCACACACACACCCATAACAACAGCACACAAACAGGTTGCAGAGTCCTTTGCAATTTTTATTATTGCGGTTGGAGAAGATTCTGATCTGTCCCCTGACCAGCCTCCCACCCCAGAATTTGAAGGGAACCAACCTGGGACCCACAGCTGTAGGACCCCAGCAGGTGGCTTTGGAGGGAGAGAGGCTGGAACGCAGGGGGAGGGAGTGGCAGGGCTGGGCTGGGGCAGGGGCCTCCTACAGGCCGGCGGGGGGCAGGGGCCACAGCTTGGGCAGTAGAGGCTCCGCTGTCGGGGACAGTGCGATCCAGACAAAGGCATGATGTGGGCTGGGGGGAGGGCAGGGGGCAGGGGCAGGGGCAACCATTTGGCCAAGCAGGGGTACAGGTTGTTCAGGATTAGGAGAGGCTGGCCGAAGGTCAGTCGTCTGAGGGAATTGTGTTGGAGTCCATCATGCCTGACCTCCATGACGGGCTGATGAATGGATGTAGGAGGGGCCAGACACAGGTATCCAGCGTTTGTCCGGGTACCCCCAGCTGCCCAGGCCCTCGGCCTAGCAGAGTCTGCTGATCTCACTCCTGCTGCAACCCCACTTGCAGCAGTTGCTGGAGAGACCATCCAGGACATCTCGGCTGCCACGCAGAGCTCCTGGGGTCCCCTGCCAGCCGGGCTGGCCGCCATAGAGAGCCTGGGGGGGCTTGGTCAGGACCAGCCAGTCACTGGGGCCTGCTGCCTCTTCCAGCGGGCGGTCTGCATAGGGGCCAGGGTCTGGGAAGGCATCCTCTGCAAAAGACGGAAGAGTTAATGCCTGGGGCCCAGCTTCCGTCACACGCAGAGGCCTGGCGCTGGGTTGGTCCAGCTGCTCTTCCGTCTTTGTGGCCTGGTCTCCTGGGGAAAGGTTTGATGCCATGCAGGCCTAGGTTCCAACTCTGATGGGTCTAATAGTCAACCTCACTGAGCTTGGCTCTCCTGTCGTTTCTCTTCCCTTACTCTTTGTGTATGGAGGACCTGCTGGTTAAGAACATGGTGGGTTTGGGAGTCAGACTGATTAAGCACTAATCCAACTTCTCGGAGTTATCATCCTGAGCAAGTGAGTTTACTTCTTTGATTCTTAGCATCCTTTTCTGCAAAGCGAGGAACATAATAACTCCTAAGAATTTAGGGTTTTGCCTGGTTAGTTTGGCTCAATGGATAGGGCCTTGGTCTGTGGACTGAAGCATCTCAGGTTGCACATGCTGAGGTTGTGGGCTTGATCCCCAGTAGGGGGAGCACAGGAGGCAGCCAATCAATGATTCTCTGTCATCATCATTGATGTTTTTCTCTCTTTCCCTCTCCCTTCCTCTCTGAAATCAATGAAAATATATTTAAAAAAGAATTTAATGTTTTATAAAGAGTAGTTGAGTTAATTAATACCCATTAAAAACAAAAACAGTTAGAACTGTGTCTGGCCCATGTCAGCACTCACACTAGCACTGAGCATTTCTGGAGGACTTGCTGTGTGCCAGACATGGTCTCAAGGGCTTCTGCAGATAAACTGCTTTCTTCCTCTCAATGACACCCCCATGAGGTGGGTCCTGTTGTTATGACCTCATTTCCTAGAGAACACCACCAAGGCCGGTGTGTGGAGTAACTGCACAAGGGCACACAGCTACTGAAGTGTAGAGCAGCTGTTTGAGCCCAGAGGGCATGTCCTCTAGGTCCACACTTCTTCTTCTTCTTCTTCTTCATCATCATCATCATCATCATCATCATCATGACCAACATCTACTTTTCTGCCAGGCCCCTGCCCTTCAGGAGCCTGGACCCCTACTGCCCGACTGAGCCCAAACTGGGCCTCCTGCCTTCCTTGGGCTGTGTCCTTGCCTGTTATGACTCAATTTTGCCACCGAACAAACTTGTGAGATGCAGGGACTGCCTCCCGTTTGCAGATAAAGAGGACCAGAGAGGAAGAGCAACCTGCTGGGAGGGTCACCCACTGGGTGGCACAATCTGGCCGTGGACACACCACACCCCTCACACTGCCGTCCCCTTCTAAGGGCTTGGGAAGTCCTTCAGTGTCGGCTTCCGGACGGTGTCCCCCCAAAGGCCTGTGAGCAGCGGCCTTGCTCAGCGCAAGGCTGGCCACAGAGCAGGTGCCCCAGAAATAGCATCCTGTCCATGGGCCCTTAGCCAGCGGACATGGCTTGCACCCCATCCCAGCTTTGGCCAAGTGGTTCAGCTTTGAGGATGCAAGTTGTGAGCAGGGACTCCCCTCCCTGGCCCCTGGTCTCATCTTCGTCCCTGTCTCTTGGGCCCATCCCAGGTCCCATGTCCCCCTTGCCTCCCTCCACCACCTCCCGCCTCACCCATCGCTTCCTGGGCCAGGTTGTCCGACCGCCTCCATCGGGAGCCTCCGCAGGTGAAGATGACCGCTCGGATGAATTCCCGGCCGCAAAGCTTCACCCCATAGGGTCCTCCCCGGGCTTCGGCTTCCAGCCACAGCCCCCCGGCCAGCACCCACACGGCCAGCAGCAGCAGCAGTGGGTGCTTGGCCATGCTGGACAGGGAGCCTGGGACAGGAGAGTGGACACAGCGAGGCCGTTTCCCAGTGGTCAGTGCCTCTGCTGCTTCCTGGCCCCCATTTATACACCCAGCCCCCCCCCGCCCCAGCCTGTGTGGAGGAGCAAAGGGACCTCCGTTATCTCTTCCAGCAGAGGCGAGGCGGGCATGGCCCGCGCACCCCGACCTTTCCCGTTTCCGGACGAAGTAAGCGATAACCTTTTGCCAGGATGAATGGGGTGACACATTCGGCTCGCCGTCATCTTCCGCAGAGAGAGGCAGGAAGCCTCCCTGCACTCGGCAGAGACGAGGAACCTGGACCCTCACCAGACCAGGGGAGAGGGGGCAGCCACACCCGCCCCTCATAGGGCCGGGACCCTGGACGGCCTCTGTAACAGCAATGATAGCCAGCCCTTACCCAGCACGGGCTTGGGACTAAGCACTGCTCTAAAGACTTTGTATTTGTGTAATGTTTCGTTCTTCTGACGACCTAGGGTAAGGGTTCTCAGATACGAGCAAGCCGCAGAACCTCCTGAAGGGCTTGTTACGGCCCAGATGGCTGGGCCCACATGCAGAGCACCTGCGAATCTGCGCGAGCAACCAACGTCCCGGCCGGGCCAATGCCGCTGGTCCAGAAACCACTGCGAGAACCACTGGACTGTAATCAGGACTAAGATCACCCCCACAGCGCAGATGAAGAAAACGAGGCACAGAGTGTGACATAAGATGCCCCAAGTCATCTAGTAAGTGTGTGGGTGTGGGTGGGGGTGTAGACATTGAAACAGCTGCTTCAATTCATGGGCTCTAGAATCCATGCTCTCCACAGGAGTATTTTTAAAAAATATATTTATATATTTTTATTGATTTCAGAGAGGAAGGGAGAGAGAGATAGAAACATCAGTGATGAGAGAGAACCATTGATTGGCTGCCTCCTGCAAGCCTCCGACTGAGGATCAAGCCCACAACCCAGGTATGTGCCCTTGACCGGAATCGAACCCAGGAGCCTTCAGCCCACAAGCCAAAGCTCTATCCACTGAGCAACACCAGCCACAGCCAAGGGAGCATTTTTAAGGATTAAAAAATTATATATGGATAGACTTTTAGTTTTGCACGATGAAAAGAGTTCTGGAGATGGATGATGGTGATGGTTGCACAATAATGTGAATAATGTTAATGACTGTGAACTGAGCACAGAAAAATGGTTGAGATGGTAAAATCGATATTCTATGTACATTTTTCATAATTAAAAAGAGTGGAAAATAGTAATTAAAATGCTTAATTAATACCATATACGTGGTGGAGCTGCGATGTGCTGGGAATTGTTTAACAATGGGCTCTCCAGAAAAAAATTATTTGTAGCAGTTGTCGGTTTCTGGCCAAATTCAAGCTACGAATGTGATGTCACTGTGATGCCCCCAAATTCCGGGAAAGTTGAAAACCTCCCTCACAAACCAGTGTAGCTGGCTCCAGGATCCCACTGAGAGACAAAACTCATTCATGTGCCATTTAAAGAATGCCAGCCTCACAGATGGCCACCTCCTCACCCCACATCCTCCTTGTCACAATCCCTTGCTTCCCCCAGTGGTAACCGCCATCCTGACTTTAGCTATCATCATTTCTTTGTTTTTTTAAAATATATTTTATTGATTTTTTACAGAGAGGAAGGGAGAGGGATAGAGAGCTAGAAACATCGATGAGAGAGAAATATCGACCAGCTGCCTCCTGCACAACCCCCACTGGGGAAGTGCCCGAAACCAAGGTACATGCCCTTGACCGGAATCGAACTCGGGACCTTTCAATCCGCAGGCCGATGCTCTATCCCAGTGTTTTTCAACCTTTTTTGGGCAAAGGCACACTTGTTTCATGAAAAAAATCACGAGGCACACCACCATTAGAAAATGTTAAAAAATTTAACTCTGTGCCTATATTGACTATATATAAAGTAATTCTCTTGAATAGGAATCAAATAAACACAAAGAAAGTATTTTATAATTACTTTATTATGAAATATTAAGTAAACAAAATAGTGAAAAATTATAAAATTCTTGTCTTGTCTGCACCTATGGCACACCAGGCAACATCTCGCGGCAGACTAGTGTGCCGCGGATCAGCGGTTGAAAAACGCTGCTCTATCCACTGAGCCAAACCAGTTTTGGCGTCTTTGCTTTTTATTACAGTTTTAACACCAACAGGTGCCCCTCCAAAAGATAGCCGAGTCTATCTCTCTCCTTTCTTTCTTTTTTTTCTTTTTATTTATTTATTTATTTATTTGCACTCAAATAAATGTAACCTTTTATTGCACATACAGAAAAGCGCACAAATTGTAAGTGGACACTTGGAAGACTTTTCACGATCGGAGCACATTCCTGCCAGCACCGCTCACGCCCAGAAACAGAACTCTCAGCCGTCACCCAGAGCAGGGCAATGGGAGGAGGATCCTGGAGGACTTGGTGGGCCCGTGTTAACGCTGTGATAAATACATGAAACGTGGATAAGTACTTAGAGGCATTGTGAATTGTTAATTTTAACGTGGTTAGCTTTATGTTCTATCAATTTCACCTCAATATGTAAAAACCAGCAATGATGGTGGGCAGAGTTGGGTTTGAATCCCACCTCTATCTCCTGATGTGTGACCTCGGGCAACTCAACCTCTGGTGCCTTGGTTTGCCTCACATAAAACAGGGAGGATTCAATGAGCACGTCAAATCCGTAACACCGTCTGCGGCATGCAGTAAGTGCCGTTTAAATGCTATTTGTACCTGACACATTCCCTCTGGGTTTGAACTTTATTCCTTTGCCCTTTTCTTCAGACAAACTCCTGGCCTTGCTGTGGATGTGTCTGGCCGAGGACATTGCTTCAGAAGGCAGGAGCCATGTTAACGCTGTGATAAATACATGAAACGTGGATAAGTACTTAGAGGCATTGTGAATTGTTAATTTTTAACATGGTTATCTGATTGGAAAGGTCTGATGAATAATGCACTCTGCCCTCTGCCCCTTCTCCCAGCAACTCTCCGGGCATACACCCTTTTTTTTTAAAAATATATTTTATTGATTTTTTACAGAGAGGAAGGGAGATAAAGGGATAGAGAGTTAGAAACATCGATGAGAGAGAAACATCGATCAGCTGGCTCTTGCACCTCTCCACTGGGGATGTGCTCGCAACCAAGGCACATGCCCTTGACCGGAATCGAACTTGGGACCTCTCAGTCCACAGGCAGACGCTCTATCCACTGAGCCAAACCGGCTTTGGCCATGCACCCTTCTTTCCTTCCCTCCACTGGCCCCGGGGCTGGCGAAGAACAAACATGCCAGGAAGTTTTGCTGCCTGACTGTCCGACTTTGGCCCAGAACCAGGAACCTCTTTTGTGCCTCACACAGAACCAGGGTTTGGAGCCCAACACAGCTGGGCTTGAATCCGGATTCCTGTGTGACCTTGAGCAAGAGACTGCACCTCTCTGAGGTCATTGGAGAGGTGGAGATAATAAGCATATCTGCCTCATGGGGTGGTGTTGGGGGCCTTGGTGAGATTATGCAAAGTGCTCAGCACCCTGCCTAGCACACAGCGAGCACAGTTGGTTGGGTGGTGACCTGTGGAAAGACAGGTCCATGACCTCACCCCCCAGGACCTATGAATGTGGTTTTATTTGGACAGAAGGTCTTGGCAGATATAATTAAATCATCCTTTGAGATTAGGTCATCCTGGATTGTCTGGGTGGATCCTAAATCCAGGAATCAAGATGCAGACAGAAGAGACAAAACTATGTGAAGACAGTGGCAGGCATTGGAGTCCAGTAGCCAAAAAAGCCAAGTCATGCCTGAGGCTGCCAGAGGCTGGGAGAGACGAGGAAGGACCCCCACCCCCACCCCGACCGCCTTCTAAGGACACACGGCCCCGCTGACATCCTGATTTAGGACTTCTGTCCTCCAGAACCAGGAAAGAATACATGTCCGCTCTGTAAGCCAGTCTGTGGCAGTCTGTGACAGCAGCCGTAGGAAGCTAATACAGACGAGTTAGGAAATATTAGGTCATCATTATCACCGTTACTCTGGTCAGCACAGAAATGCACCCAGATCTTACCAAACCCAAACAAAGGCCCCTCTCTCCAAACTTCTTAACTAATTTTATTTTAATAAAATTACCTAAGCAGTCAGTTTGACATCCCCTGAGGGCTCCTGGACTTTGAGAGGTCACAGAGCAGGCTGAGGGACTCCCCCCACAATCCCAGCTCCTGCATTGAGTGTCTGCCCCCTGGTGATCAGTGCACATCATAGCGACTGGGTAGTTCTGCCGTTTGGTCAATTTGCATATTAGCCTTTTATTATATAGGATGTCCCCAGCCCCCAACCTCCACACCTACTTTTACATTAAAGGTAGCATTAAAAATATAGGGTCGAGGGCTGGCCAGGTAGCTCCTTTGGTTAGAGTGTCATCCCAATACACCAATGTTGCTGGTTAGATCTCTGGTCAGGGTACATATAAGAAGCAACTAATGGCCATACCTGGTTTGGCTCAGTGGATAGATCGTTGGCATGGGGACTGAAAGGTCCCAGGTTCAATTCCGGTCAAGGGCATGTACCTTGGTTGCGGGCACATCCCCAGTGGGGAATGTGCAGGAGGCAGCTGATCGATATTTGTCTCCCATCGATATTCCTAACTCTCTATCCCTCTCCCTTCCTCTCTGTAAAAAATCAATAATATATATTTTAAAAAGAAGCAACCAATGAATGCATAAATGAGTGGAACAACAAATCAATCTCTCTCAAATAAATAAATAAGTAAATTCTTGTCATGATATGCTATGCCCAGTGCTGAGATCCCAGAAAAACCTCAGCACGCTGTTCCTGGATTCCCAGCGAAGTAACTGGAGGACTGACTGGCTGTGAAAGCCCCAGGTTTATCCGAAGTCACCTGGCGCCGGTGGTGGCGCACCATCGACGTTTGCCGCCACACTGGCTGCCGCAGGTGAAGCTGAACCGCGGTCCCCTCCAGCCTGCAGACGGGCGCAGGGGGTCAGCCGCCAGTGCCACCGTTTCCCCACCACCCAGGCGTTCCCAACACAACGCTTTCTGGAGCCCAGACAACAGAGAGAGAGAAAAAAAAAACAAGGCATGCAGGGGAGGGCGACGGGTGCAGTGTGAGATCAAAACGTTGCTTTCCTGACGGAGGCTGGCCCGGTTCCCAAGGTCTCCCAGTGCCTTCCTGATGGCCTCCAACCCCCTCCCACAGGATGGGAGGGGAGCTGGTG